GCACTGCCAGGAGTGATTCCTGAGTCCATGTGCCAGGAGTAACCCCTGTTCATCTCCAGGTGTGACCCAAAAAGAAAAGAAAATGAACTCATGAAATACCCTTCTCTTTATTATTTGTAATATACTTGAATAAGCTAGGATTTTCAAAAATACTTCAACAAATGGTCAAATCCAAATAAATAGGTCACTGTCACTGTCCTCCTGTTGTTCTTCAATTTGCTTGAGCGGGCCCAGTAACATCTCCATTGTAAGATTCATAGTTACTGTGTTTGGCATATCAAATACGTCACATCATGGGTAGCTTGCCAGGCTTTGCCCTGCAGGTAAGATACTCTGCCTTGCTCTCCAAGAGGGGCAGAGGAATCGAACCTGGTTTGGCCAGGCCGGCCACATGCAAGGCAAACGCCCTACCGCTGTTCTATTGCTCCACTAGCAAATAATAGGTAAAGTTTAAAAAAGTAAAACAAAACAACTGGGACTGAAGAGATGATATACACCAGGGCTAACCTGGGTTTGATTCCCAAGCAGCCCTTAGGATCCTCTGAGCCTTCCAGAAATGATCCCTGAGCGCAAAGCCCTTAGGATATCTGGGTGTGGCCCAAAATAACAAAAGAAAAAAGAAAAAGAAACCAACCTGTGAGGCTTACAAAGCAAAAGGTTCTGACCCACTCCATTGGATATATATGTCTTGCCTAATTTCACCTTAACTCTAAGGAAAATAAGGAAATTTGCACCAAAGAGAGCACTCAATGTGTTAGGCACATAGTTTACATGCAGAAGGCCATGTTCTGAGCTTGAACAATGCTAGAAGCCACCCCGAGCACTGAGACGTGTGGCTAAAAAATGAAGGAGAGGAATGGGGAAAGAAAGAGAATGATTACATATGTTTTACTAATTACATGTTTTGTCATTTCTAAAGATCATTAAAATATCACAGTATTTATAAAAAAAATTTATAAATGACTCGTGATATAATCCAGGTATTTTGCTTTTTTTTTTGACATTCATCAAAACAACAACAACAGAAAAAGCCCTCTCTTTATTGGTAAGATAAGTTAGAACATAACAGAGTAAATTGTATTTAGGAGACCCTAAAATCATTTGCAAGTAGGTAAATACAACATATGTGGAATCAAAATGAGTTTTCATTAAAACTCTTCAAGTGTAACTCAGAGGGATAGTATAGTGGGTAGGGCACTTGCTCTGCACACAGTCAACCTGGGTTTGATCCCCTGTCTCCTGTATGGTCCCTGGCATCACATATGGTCTTCTCAGCACCTCTTTGGGTAATTTCTGAGTAACCCCTCGTGGTTTAAAAAAAAAAAAAGCAAAAAGTAAAAAAAAACAAACTTTCAAATATGCTTCAGTTTGATAAATATTTTTCACATTCTATTGATTTCATTTTTCCCAGGGTTGAATAATAATTTTTAGTTTAAACTAATTTACTGTTTAAACTACATTTTTCAATTGTCACATTTATTATATTGTTGGCATTCCTTTTTTTTGCAGTGTACTGCTTTCTGCAGCATACCAGCATACCAAATTTCATCAGTTATTCCTTTTATATGTATGTGACTTTTATATGACATATAAATTTAGGGTAAATATTTGTAGAATTATAAATATGTAAATCTTGAAGTTTTTTTTCTAAGTAAAATAGTTGGGGCAATGATTTTTCAATTTAGATGATTCTATTTTAAATTTCTTATAGCAGCATCAAATATTTTAAACCAAGCAATGGGCTGGTAACTAGAGGTTTTAAGTTTTACTCTTTCTGCCAATGAGTGGGTTTGGAGCAATAGCACAGCAGTAGGGGGGTTGCCTTGTGCGCAGCCAGCCCTGCTGAGCTGGGTTTGATTCCTCTGCCCCTCTCAGAGAGGCCTCTCGGAAAGCCCAGCAAGCTACCGGGAGTATCTGGCCCACACAGCAAAGCCTAGCAAGCTACCCGTGATGTATTCGATATGCCAAACACGGTAACAAGAAGTCTCATGATGGAGACATTACTGGGCCCGCTCGAGCAAATCAATCAACAATGGGAGGACAGTGCTGCCACTGAGTAAAAAATACTACTAACCTTCTATTTTGTTAAATTGTGGTTTTCTTTCACAAGTTAGGCTAATAGATATTGGAAGTCCAGTCAGATCTAAGATTAAATATTGCTAAAACGTGAATACTTTTTTCTCTTACAATTAAATATTTTCCTTACATTTAAATTTATCTTTAAAAGAATTATCATAATCTATATAAATTCTTACAAAGATCTTTTTTTATTTTACCATTTTTTGTTTTGTTTTGTAATTTGGGGGGCCACACTTGGCTGTGCTCAGGGCTTACTCCTGGCTCTGCACTTGGGATTCACTCCTGGTGGGCTGTGGAGGGGGGAAGGGCGGGCGCCGGTACATGGGGTGCCTAGGATTGAACCTAGGTTAGCTGCGTCCAAGGCAAGCACCTTACTCACTGTGCTGTCTCTCCGGCCCCATTCCCACCATTATTAAGTACCTACTATGTGCATGTAAGATGTCTCAAATCTGTTCTGCAGTAAGACAGGACAAAAACTCCCAGAATATGTCTGTCTGTACTGCCTGCACTTTAAGGCACTGAACTGTACCCTAACAATCATACTTTTTTTTTTCCATTTTGGCTTTCAGGATCATAGGTAAAGGTAAAGGTAAAGGCCCTCCCGTTGATCGTCGATTTGCTCGAGCGGGCCCAGTAACGTCTCCATTGGAGACTTTATTGTTACTGTGTCTGGCATATCAAATACTCTCAGTAGCTTGCCGGGCTCTCCGAGAGGGGCGGAGGAATCGAACTCGGGTAGGCTATGTTGGCCGCTTGTAAGGCGAACACCCTACCCGCTGTGCTATCGCTCCAGCCCTAGGATCATACCTGGCGATATTCAGGTATGAATATCATACCTGGATCATACCTGGCGATATTCAGGTATGAATATCATACCAGGATATTCAGGTATGAATATCATACCAGGATCATACCTGGCGATATTCAGGGATTATTTCTGGCTTTACACTCAGGAATTACTACTGGTGGTACTTGGAGGACCATACATGAAGCTGAGGTTTGAACCCACATTGGCTGCATGCCACTGTACTATTGTTTCAACCCTAATCATAATATTTTAAGTTGTGCATATTTTCATCAAACCATGTATGATATATATTTAAATGCAGTACATTCCTGACAATTCATGCCTATCATTTAGAATTGCATTACAGTAGTTTCGGTATTCCAAAAGACTGCTGCCCCAGGGACAAGGACTCTTAATCTGTTATCCAGTGGCCTAAGAATACTGTCTTTGAATCTGCTAACCAGGAAGGTCAATTAGATCCTGGCTTTCCAAGTGTTGTTATTCCTTATATCTTAATTACTCTCAGCCAAAGCAAGTCATGCGATATTTAAACACACACACACACATTCTCTCAGGGACCAGGTTTTACAGTGGATGAGACACTCGCCTTGCACGCGAACAACCCACCCAGGTTCGGTTCTCAACATCCCATATCGTTCCCCAAGCACCTACAAGAGTAACACAGGAGTAATTCCTGATGGCAGAGTCAGAAGTAATCCCTGAGAATTGACGGTGTGACCCCCCCCAAACAAAAACAAAGGCAAAAATTTTCTCTATCTCAATATACTTTTAAGATGACAGGACTAAGCCCTTCTCCGGGTAGCTAAATAGTCATCTACGACTTTCTCCAAGTCGTAGCTTAAATAAAGGCATTTTACCTCAGCCTCAGGCAATCAGTACACAGACAATTACTAAAACATCCGACCCTGTCCTTTTTAAGCCAAACTTAGCAGGCGACTTTAACCTGTGTTACAGTACTGTAAGTTACTAAGTGATAGGTTGCTTAGGTGTTTGTTACACAAGAAAAGTCTAACTCTCTCTTTCTCCTCCCCCACCCCATCCTATTCCTGGGGCTGATGTGATCGCACATCCTTCCGTTAAATTCAGTTAAAACCATTCAAGAAGGCAGTTAATGCAATTCTAAACTCAGTGGAATTCTCCAGTCCAAGTCTCGCTGGCGCTCAGGGTGATAAAGGCATCCTCGAGGCTGTTCTTTTTCCAAGTTCGGAGGAACCCGGAGCTCCTTCCTTGCAAAGGAGAGAAGACAGGCCAGTGGAGCCAAGGCTCTGGCTGCGCGCGGGAGAGGCACGAGCACAGTGGCGGGACAAGGGGCAGGGCAGACTAAATCCCTGGAGGAAATGGGCGCCCCGGGAATAAGTTCTGGGGTCTGAGTACCCCCCTCCCCCTTAGGCTCGCAGTCTGGCAAGAAAAGAGAAAGTGACGGGGGTCGGGGGTCGGGGATCCGGGATGTGAGGGTGACGGGGTGGAAAACAAGAACATGCAGAGCCGAGAGGAAAGGGGCTCCCGGATCCCGGCAACGTCCGTCCGGCGCTCGGACGCAGCAGGAAAGCGGGCGTGCGTCTGCTCCTTCCTTTTCCCGCCTCCCGTGAGACGCGAGCCCAGGCCTTTCCCCTCGTTTTCACCCCGGCCGCGTAGAGAGCCGCCCCGCCCCCACCGCCGCTCCCGCCCTCGGGTACCCCCCCAGGTCCTCCTCTTCCTACTCCGCCCGGCGGGAGGCGGCGGCCGCGGCAGTCACGTGTCCCGGCTGCCGTCAAGCGCGGCCGCTTTTGCGACGCGGTGACAGCCAAAGGGTGCGACAGGAGGCGGTGCCCCCGCGGCCCGCAGCGCCCGGGACCCAGAGACGCGAGGCGGCTCCTGGCGTCGCCCAGAGGGAGCGACTGAGCTAGCCGAGTTGGGCGCGGGCGGGCGGCGAGGGGGAGCCCGCTAGGAGTGCCCTGGCTCCCCGCCGCTCTCCATGATCGGGGTGAAATAAGCCGCGCCTCCAGCAGGGGCTGCGCCTCCATGACTCCCTAAGGTTTTGTGTGTGTGTGTGTGTGTGTGTGTGTGTTTTTCCCCTTGTTCCCCCCACCCCCCCACCTCCCCTTTCTCTCCCCGCTCCTCACCTCCCCCCCCCCCCCAACCCGGGCTCCGTCCCGCCTTTCTCCGCTTCGCCAGCGGCCGCCGCGTCCCGGTGCCGAGTCCCAGCTCGGAGTGCAATGGCGTCCAACCCCGAACGGGGGGAGATTCTGCTCACCGAGCTGCAGGTAAGGGCCGCGGCCCGGAGCGAGGGGCGCGGGCCGGGGAACCGGCGGGCAGAGTAGTGCGGCGCTGGGGGGCCGCGCCCCGAGCCCGCCGAGCGCGGAAACTCTGGGATGTCACTCGGGCGCGGCGCGGTGCCCGGAACGCCGTGGCGGAGGAGACCCCCCCCACACACACACACCCCACACCCCCCATCTCGTCCCTGCTTGCCGCCCCCGCCCCTCCCGCGGACCGCGCTCCCCGGACTCCTTTGAATGACTCGCGAGCCGCGGGCTCGTCCCTCCCCTTCTCCCCGGCGGACGGCGCACAAAGAGCGCCCCCCGAGCTCCCCGTCGCCCCCCTCGCCGCGCTCCCCAGTTGCCTGCCCCGCCGTTGCCCAGGTGGCCGGGTCCTTCTCCCTCCACCCGGAGACCGAGTCGCCTGCCCTCCCTGACGGTCCCGAAGAAGAGCGATGGGATGGGGAGGCTGGAGGGGGTGGGGGTGGGGAGATCTGGTCCCTCGCCGCCCCGCGCCCCGCTCGGATCGGGAAAGTCGGATGCTGATGCTTTTTCAGACTTTCATTTTCCCTCCCCGGTTCCATCCGAGTAGGAGCCGCCAGAGTTGTTTACGAACCCGAGCTGGAGCGCGGCGGAGCTCGCTGGGGGGGAAAGGTTGGGCCCCGCGCGCCTTGCAGAAGGGGTGGAGGACGGAAAAGGTGCCACGATGGGTTGGGTCCGACCCTAGCAAGAACGTTCCTGCCCTTTCCCAGCGCAGCGGCCCGGGGATGCAGGCGCCTTTTCTGTGCTTTTGATCTCTGATGTGTGCAGCCTCAGTTGGGCTAAGTTTTCTTGACTTTGTAGGGTCCCAGAAATGTTGACATCTGGATTAAAATTTTCATGCTTTTTTTTGTTTTGAACTTTTTTTGAACTTAAAGTCTTGTTCGTTTTTATCTGCCTATTGGAAGATTCAAACGGGAATTAAAGAAACACCAAAAATGTTACATATACATTTCCTTTTTGTTCTCTGGGCAGTTTTTTGTTTATTTTTCCCTCCAGACACTGAGTTTAGAAACTGAAGGCAAGATTATTGATGTCGAAATAAGCTTTGCAAAACTACTTTTTTAGAGTTCTTGCTATTTAAGTATATTTTTGAATAGATCTCTATCAGCTTGGTTTACTATGCAGTTAGATGTAAAGGCGTTCTTATAATATTTGATATTTCCTTTACAGAAGTAGATTTCAGTAATTATAAATGCACTGTTGCAAGTTCGGAAGAATAAGAGCTTCATATCATTAAATATGTAGCCCTATAGTATTTTACTTGGCCTTTCACAAGATCTTAATAGCACACCATATTTGCTGACTTAGTGGAATGTATTGCTTTATTAATTTACTTGAGCTTTAAAAAGAAGCTTGTGGCATATTGGAACTATTTTACATTGCTTAGGCTTAAAATATGTTAAGCATATTTTGGTTTTGATTGAGAAAAAGGCATTGACTAGCATTTTTATTTCATTGGATCACAAACTGGTATAGAGTAACTATCAAATTTATCTTGAGAATCACTTTTTAGAAGTTTCTAAATAAATGCTTTTAGTTGGAAAGTTGTTTAAGACGGGTTTCTAATGTTTCTTGGCAGAAAAGATTTTAAGTATTTAAAAGTAAGTTATGTAGCAATTTTTGATGTGTTAAGAAATGTTACTTTTCCTGTCTGGTCTACAGATTACTTTGTATCATTCCAGTGTTCCAGTGCTACAAGTCTACTTTTAGTAACATCCGTTTTTGCATAGAAACATTGTATATTCAGTATATTATTTTGTTCTGTTTTGTCTTTGTTGTGGGAACCCCATCTGGTGATGCTGGACTGGGTTCTCTCCTGGCAGTGCTCAGGGGACCCTGTGGTATCAAGGTGTGGACCTGGGCTCTCACATGCTAAGTGGCATTCTTGCCCACCAGCTCCTCTTGCTGCCTCCCTGGCCCATTGGAAAGTATTTTCCAAATTATATTGCAGATTTTGAGCATATTTACATGAGCTGAAATTGGCTTAATAATAACCCTTGATTGTGGAAAGACAAACCAAGAAAGTCTAAAACCACAGTATTTGTCCTGTTAATTACTGTAACATTTCTATTGAGTAATGTTTCTAACTCTTACTGGTAGTTTAAGAGGCTTATTCAACAAGGAAGCATTAATAAACCACACACACTTTGATGGCTACAAGTTTAAATGTGTAAGGAAGAATGTTTGGTATAGTAAAAATTAAATTAGGCTATTTGAAAATATAAATTTAATTGGCAATTTCTAATTTTTATCTCGTAAGTAACTTATACCATGTAATTTATATCTTTATTTCAAGAGTATTATTAAATTTAGATATTTCAGTGAGGCTAAGGAAACTTAAAGCTTATTTCCAAGGGAACTGGAATAATAAAAATAATTGAAGGACTCTCAAAATTAAATGTTGATCAGAGCAATAGTACTACAGGTAGGTTGCCTGCCTTGTATGCAGCTGTCCCAGGTTCAGTTTCTAGCACCATATCTGGTACCCTGAACCCTTCCAGGAGTGATCACTGAGTACTGCAGGGTATGGCCCAAAATACTACTACTACTACTAGTACTACTAAAATGTTGGCTATAACAATAACTTTGTATAATGTAGATCCAACAATAATTTTGTATAATGCAGACCCAATATTAAACAGCATATTAAAACTTATTGATGACTTGTCATCAAATACCTAAAAAAGGTTTAGGCTGGGAATCTTAAACTTCCTGCTCAACAGAATTTATTTTGATAGAGATAATTTGCTGAAAGTAGCTAGAAGGTTGTGGGAGGTAACCTTAAATTACAGAGATTAATTTGAAGGTACATTGGTTGGGTATCTACTAAAGCTAAATTCATAGACTTAGACAACAAGATCGAGTTTCAGTTGTCGCAGAGTACAGTGAACACATATTGACCATTTGCGGGAAGTCAAACATTGTTCTTGGTACCCTCTACATTTTATTTTTCACACTGCTGTGACATGTTATTCATTTTACAAATGAGAATTAATGTTATTTGTGAAGTAACATTTAAAAACTGCTAGACTCAGTGGAGTTAGCTTCAAGGGCTGTGATGCATGTCCAACATATATAAGGCCCTGAGTTCCATCCCTTGCACTCCATGGCCACTCAGGTACCCTCATAAATAAATAAAAATAAAAGATGTTAAGTAAACTGTTCATGGTAGAATTCACAAGTATTTGACATCTCTGAGTTTGAATTGAAAGTTACATATTTCCTACTACACCATTATTTAAGCTTTCTGTGGACTTGTTAATATATTGTGTTGCACATTCCATCCTTCACAGATAGGTAAACTTTCTAAAAATTGGGTAAAAATTAACCTGCCTGAGAAGACTTTAATATGAACTGTATATTACTTGCTATGTTCTTCTTTAACAGCAGTTTCTTTTAGTCCTATTTTGTAGTCTATAATTTGACCTTATTACAGTATTGCAAATAAGGTGTAATAGCCTATAAAAAGTAACAGTTAAAAAGCATCTTTGCAGTTTTTCTTCATTTACTAATTACTCTTATGAATATTGTCACATACTTGCTCAGACACTTCCCAAATTCCTGTATTTTCTGTTGATGGTCCATAACCTTTGCATTTTTAAGATCACGCATAACCAAATTGTTTGGCTTTTAGTAAGTACTCAACATATTGATGAAGACTCATTTTGCCACCCAAGATGAGAAATGTTCTGACAGGTACAAAGAAGTTGAATATAATCACTGACATAAAAATTACATGTTTCAGTGGAGGTCAGAGTGATAATACAGCAAGGTGTTTGCCTTGCGCGCACCCAACTTAGTTTTGGTTCCCGGCACCACATTTGGATCTCTAAGCTTTCCTTAGGAGTCACTCCTAAATACAAAGCCAGGAATAAGTCCTGAACACATCATGGTGTGGTTTCAAATCACAAAAAATAGAAAAAAGATATGTTGGGCCAGAGAGGTAGCTGTGTGGGTAGTGTGCATATTTTGCGTTTGTGAAACCCATCCATGTTCAATCCCTAACACTGCATCTTCCCTTGAGCATTTCTAGAAGCAACTGCCAAGCCACCTGATGTGACTCAAAAGTTTTAATTAAAAAAAAAAGACCAAAAACCAACCCCTGCTTGGTTTAATTTGCATTTAAATTTATGTTCCAGAGATATTCCCTTTAAAAATTCAGTGACTATTTCTGCATTCTTATTTTGGTACATCTCCATACAACACACTAGAAAGTGAAGATCTCTCTAGTCACATCAAGATGGTTGTAAGTGGGTTGTAATAATACACAAGAGAGGATTTTACAGTTTTTCCAATATTCGAATATTTATTGTAAAAATTTTGCAAAATGCAGAGAGATGTAAAAGAAAATAGAAGATTGTGATAGTTCTGTCATCAGAGGCAAATGACCACTTTTCTGACTTTTATCTCTTAAAGCACTTAAGTCCATTTCCTCTTTTTTCTTCCTTTATTATATTTTACCTGTTAAAATTTTATTTATTTATTTATTTATTTAGGCTTTTGGGCAACACTTGCATGGGGATGTACCAAAATAAGAATGCAGAAATAGTCACTGAATTTTTAAAGGGAATATCTCTGGAACATAAATTTAAATGCAAATTAAATGCAACACGTGGCAGTGCTTAGGGTTTACTCTGTGCTCTGCACTCAGGAATCACTCCTGGCAGACTCAGGGGATCATATGGGATGCTGTTGATTCAACCTGGTTCGACCGCATGCTTTCTCAACTGTACCATCTCTATGGCCCCTACTTACTAGAATTTTTTTAAAAAATGTTCATAAAGTTTCAAGGTCGAAATAGTTATATGAATGGAGAAAGTTGCCACAGTTACTAAGATTGATTGATCTAATCAGCTTTATTGGCTTGTCTAATGTAATCACAAAATATTTTTATATTTAGTCTGAGTTGCGTTACTAAAGTGGTGAATATAGAATGAATTTAGTTACAGACTAATTGCTTTTGTATT